GATACAAAAACGTCCTAGAGGGGTCCCAGGGCATGCCCCCGCGAAATTTTTGTGTTCTTACAAACGCCCGAAATTAACATTTAAGGCGTTCTGGGCTATCATTTTTTTTTTCATATTCCTTCTTTTTTTCTTTCTTTTTTCTTTTTTTTTACCCCCCTCCCTAAATCCGCCCCTGAATGTACCAGATGTTCTTAAAATCTCACTGACACCACTGCCTCCCACCCCGCTCGGTAGGCCTAGTTCGCGCGTCGAAAAACCCCTAAATTTGTCCCTAATTATATTGTATAAGGGACCATTCCAACATTTAAAAAATGGACTAACTATAAAAATTCAGAGACGGACACTGTAAATATTTCCCCATTCCCCATAACAATTGCTTTAAGGCCTAGGCCTACGACTTTTGGATCACATTTTCTAATAGACTTGAACCAATATAAGACGGTTTTAGTAACCAATCGTTTGATTGTTTTGACGAAGTATCATCACTTCGACCACAAATTATGTTGCTCTGAAACAGAATGATTGATAAGGCAATCTTAATAATAAGCGACCATCGTTCTTATGGTCAACATGATTAGGCTTATCGTCCGAATATCCGATACATTGTTTTATTCGATTTTAACATATGTATAATGCTTCACATTATGTATAATGCTGCACATTGTCTGAAGCCACTAGGCCTACTGCTAGCCGCCGTCAAAGAGTATAAAAGAGTATAAATTTATACTCCTTGGTATCATGAGTATGCGTGCACTAGTAGAGGGCGTTTGTAGATTCGTGATAAGGGATTTCCTTGTGATAGAAAATGACGTCATAGTAAACTTAACAAAATGGAGGCAGTCCCCAGAATGGAAATGCTCTCTCTGGAGCTAAAACAAAGTTCAGAGAGGGCTGAATTTTCATCAGTTCTGAAAAAGGTTAGTAGAATTATGACCCATATACAATTTTCTAAAACTGGTTCAATTTTGGTTGTAAATATCGTTGTTTAATGTCTATATATCGTACTTACTTTTGGTGAAACGAAAACTCCGAGTGACCTGTCACTGTTGTTGATTGAGTACAGTAAACACATTTTCGACTAGGCCTAGGGCTAGGCCTGGAGTAGAGGCCCAGGCCTAGTAGTAGTAGGTAGGCCTATTCAGTAGAGTAGGACTTAAGCTAGGCCTACAGCACAGTAGTCTCGCCTAAGCAACTGAAATGTCAAAGAAAGTGGCCTAGTGACTAATGGCCTAGTGACTAATCCTCTGTTCTTAAATATTGCCAGTTTAGTCACTTTGTTTGGTCGATATTCTTCTGAACGCTGTTCAGAACAGTGGTGATAGATAGAGTGACATGACGTGGGCCTATGCCTTTAATCTTAGTGCACTAAGATATCATGACTGAAGTTTAATAGGGTTAGGGTCAGGCCAGCTCCACCAATCAACACCTCGGATTTACAAATTTGTTGTAATAAATATCCATGGCCTTTAGTAAGCTAGTACTACCATGGAGGAATTAAACTAATTCCCCTTCCATGGTACTACGACTACCACTACAGTACTATATATACTATACACAATACTATACACAACACAATGCAGCCCAAGTCATAGCTAGTCTCCAGGTCAGTTTATTAAGGCCTCCGCGCAAAATTTTGGCCTAGAAATCTGTCCGCGTATTTTTGGAAAATAAGAGCCAATTTTCGCATGGATTTTGCCATAAATTATTCTTAAGCTGGACACTTACTGCATCGTACGACCGCCGCACGACGAATCCACATTTGCTTGCGGCAAACGATAGACACAACACCGTCTGCTGATTGTCAGTGGCAATCTAAACGGATCCTCATTAAAAAGATGATCCGTTCGTCGGGTCCGCATCTTCGCATGCGTTATTTGTCGCTTTGCAGTCGCGTCGCACCGAGTGGATAACCGGCTTTAGACCTAATCTTAATAATAACCAGTACAGTGTAAATATGATTCCTATTTTCCTAGCAATTTTTCTGCACAATTAAAATACTTTACAAATTGGAATATCGCACATTTTCATGGTGATTAGTGAGGGCGTACTCCAGTCCTAACCTTAGAGAAAAGAGAAAAAAAAGGAATCTATACATTTTGCATGTACACAATAAAACGAAAAACTACCACGAGATAAGAGGCACCCTATTATAATTAAAATTGAGTTCGAAATTCGAACAGACATGTTCAATGCAAACAACTTTTATGTGCAATGTTATATCTTTTATCTTTTAAATAATGCCCTGTAAATTGTGGTAGTAATTTTCGAGATAAGATTGCATTTCAAAAGAAACCCAAGAGTCAGACCTCTTATACCTTTCTATATGCCTTTGCTATACAACTTATAGCGAACAGTTGGATGAAAAGTAGACTACAGTGTATATTTTAGTCAATTTTAGGCTTTCGTATAAAAAAAGACAAGAAACAAGCTTAAATTTAAAGTTTAACAAAGTAAAAATCTTCATTTGACAAATGTCTGGTTACTAATTCATGATATAATCCTATTTTAAAAGTAAATGTAGACCTACTGTAAGCCTACAGTAGTTACATTAATTAATATTAAGCAAACACAACATTTATTTCTTATATTTTCAAGGTGTTACATACATCATGTTGAAATTATATCAATTCCTAATTTTCTGAATTGTTTTTTATTATTCATGTTGTTTTTTTTTCTATTCATGTTGAGGCAGTTTGAATGAATTTGATTTTGGGGATAAAAGAGTTATGATATTTAAGCAATCCATTTGGCAGTAGAGGGTGCACTTCAATGAATTATTAAAGCTATTATGAAAACTATATCTTCATGCCATTAATTTGATTTTCTTACAGTATATAAGTGAACATTATATGGAAGATGCAGGTCGATATAATGATGAAATTCGACAGATAGAGCAGTTGAGGGTGGTAAGGATACAATTTTTTTTTTTTAAAGATTCCTCATAATAATTGGGAAAACAGAACTAAATAATTTATAGTAATTGATTTTGTGAATATGAAATATTTAGAAGAGTTGTACATTGCTGGATGGTGGTTGACTTGACTATTAGGCATGCATACAGAGCTGGGTGGTGGTTGGCTTCCAGTTAGTATCAAGAGTGTTCATATCTGGTATTGAGTACTGCCTTTTTGCTGATCACTGTCACTCCTCAGTATATGGAGACTTTTTGATATCATTGTCAGGACTTGCTCTTGATGGCTATGAAACAAAATTTTATAAATAAGATAAAAACTATAAATTCTCTGGGTGTGAGATTCTAGTTTGGATAAATTCTCAATAAGCTTTTTAAGACTTATATTTTGTTCAAAATTACATAAGGTTTTAGAATATTTCTTGCATTTTATTTTTTATCATTTAATTTAATTCCATTTTGAAGTGTCATAACTATATTATAAATGTCAGTTCGAGGTGTAGTATAGTCTTGTCACCGTCACATGCTAAAGTGCTTTTTAGCCATGTGACAATCTGGATTTGATTTTGCTACATCACTACCATTCACAGAGTGCCAAGAAGCAGGATGTTTACATTTTCAATAAGAATATAAGGTTGTTTTAAGGCTCACACTAACTATGATCGAATATGACATTATTATATAGAAAAGGAATTTTTACAATCTTCGTCGAACGAGTGAATTTGACAGGATGTGTGTGGCTGAGATGTCAGAGGAAATTACTATTACTAGAACCTCTGAATAATCTTAATGCTTAGTTTCAAATGCAATACCAGAAAAAAAAAATATACAGACTGTACAGATTGTAAAATGTTTACTTTTAAGTATACCGTAAAACCTCGAATTGAAGCCCAGTGGGCTTAATCACGAGTTGAATCCCATCTCGAATTGAAGCCCCTTCTTTTGTTTGCACGTGCCGTACGTAAATGAGGGGTTCTACTGTACATGAATTTCAGAAAACAAAATAAATTAAAAACAGGCTTAGTTTATTAGTTAAGGTGGTTTAATGCCAGTTTACACTCCATAATACAGATTGATGTTACATTGACCTTATTTATTGTTTAATTGCACAAATTCACAGAATTTACAGCAGTCATTTTGAAAAGAAGCCGCGCCCCCCCCCCCTTTAATTTGCAAAAGTAGTGTCGAAAAAAAGCCCATCTCGCAAAGAAGCCCATCCAAAGTTTGCAGAAGAAAGAAGAGGCCCAGGGCTTCAATTTGAGGTTTTACGGCATTGTAGTAATTGTTACCATAGACATCTAGTTAATAATTTACTTCTGATTAAAATTCATTATTGATGTGATAAATCTTAAATGATCTGATATTTTTATCACCTCAACAAGAAACTAGAACTGCATTTAAAGCATGTAATACCTTGACCATTGCTTTGAAAACCATATTTTGCTAAAATTGGCATGTAGTTTTATAATTTCGTGGTTCCTCTACTCTAAGGAGTATTGTTATTATTAATGTTATTTTCATCGTTATCATTGCTGTTGTTATAATTTAGTAGTTTTATCAATTGTTATTATTGTTTTACTTTTGTTATTGTTTATAATTTATATCATTTTTTGAGGAGTATTATTTGTATAAGTAGTATTGCTGTTGCCACTGTATTACTGTTCAAATAAAAGTGAACTATGCTTATGCTACTGTAGTACATACTTTTTGTGTATCAAATAAATTATGACTAATATATACAGTATTAGAATAATTAATGATGAATCAATTATGATTTATTTCTCATAAGGCCTCAATGCTACTATAATCCTATAATTTTCCATATATCTTTTCCAATATTGCTTTCCTATAATGTAGTTTTTTACACAGAGCCATGAAGCCCTAATTTTGGTCTACAATGTAATACTTCGTCCAACAGATGTCTTTTTTTTTTTTCAAGTTATATAATTCGTTTTGCAGAGTGCTTGCAATGTTGCACAGGATTTTGGAGGTCTGAGTACTTTGAAGAAATACTATGGTCAGTTACACCTCCTGACCAGTCGCTTCCCAATGGCCGAGGGAGAAGGCTGTTTCATTCAGTTTGTGTGGTCAGTTTCTTCTTCAGTTTAGTTTCAAAATATTTGGAATTATTATTTTGATTGATTTAGTAATTAACTACTGTATTGTTTCATAATTTTTAAAAATTCATATTATCAGTCATTATAATTAATAAAATAAAATAGAAAATTATTCAAAATATTTGATGCCCCTTTTTCTTAATAATATCGCCATAATTATTTTTGAATATATGCTCATTTATATTTTTATTGTCTCGTAGGGTTGATGCATTTGATGACACATTTGTGACAGAAGGCGATGTTCACTTTGAGCAGGCGTCTATTTTATACAATCTAGGCACATTGCACGCCATCCTCGGTGCAAGAGAATCACGTACTTCAGAAGAAGAGATGAAGGTTGCGTGCACACATTTCCAATGTGCAGCTGGTGTGTTTACATTTCTCAAGGATCATGTTGGATCAAACAAAAGCCCAGACATATCAACAGAACTTCTCCAAATTTACATAAATCTGATGTTGGTAAGGAAGCTTTTGATTAAGACATATCACATGTGTTGTATTTGTATTTTTTTTACCTAAGGCTGGTTCTCTTAAAATTGCTACACTGTGGCTGCAGTGTTTGAGTGCAATCGTTGTACTACGTAGCAGTCTCCGATGCAATCAAGAACGCGCCCCAGTTCAACTGACCAATCAGCATCACCGAAAACTATCAGGGATAGCGTGTAGCGATTATTATTATTTTTATTTATTTATTTTTTTGAGCTGTCATTCTCTGGAATTTTATTTATTTAGAATAGAATTTAACTGTTGATATTTTTTACTGTTTTTTGTGTATCCAAGGAAATCAAATTTCAATGTTACTTGTATTGTTGACAATAAAATTACTTTGAACTTTGAACTTTTATTGTATAGAAACCAACCTTTAGAGGAGCTGTAACTTTGTCTGCTCACAGTCCTATGAGCATTGTACTGTCATTGCATTTTTTTGCAGGGCCAGGCCCAAGAGTGTCTGTTGGAAAAGAGTATGCAAGATAATAGGAAGAGTTCACTAGTAGCCAGAATCAGTAGTCAAGTTAGAGACTTCTACAAGCTAGCTCTCAAAGGCCTTGATGATAGTAGGGCTGATATCATTGTGGGATCAAGGCGCTACAAGCAGTGGAAGAAAGTGCTACAGATTAAGATTGCTCATTTTACTAGTATTGCATTAGTAAGTGGTAATTTTTTATCCTATGTTGCTACCTTTGTATTGTCATAGATGGTGGTAGTAAGTTCATTATTATCTTGATGAACTGAAGTCTTGAACCTATATTTAGTTCTAAAATTGACAGAATGCAAGGTCACGGTAAGATAATATGCTGCTTACTCATTATATAATTACACTAAATGAATAAATTATACTGTTGTTCGCTCTGTGATTAGTATTCATATTCTTAAAAGAATAATTTTCTGTTGCTGTTGATAGGGCAAAAGAAATTTTGTGTTTGCAATTTTTTTCATGTTTACTTTTTCATAATTCATAGATGTACATGGGTAACCAAGCTGAAGAGCAGCAAAAATATGGAGACAGAGTTGCATACATGAAGGCTGCGCTTGATAAACATTTAGAAGCTGTCAAGTTAGCAAAGGTTTCTAAGAAATTTTCTTAACAACTGCCTACCTTGCATTATAGATATGATTAAAACTATGGACATGACTTAACCCAATACAAAACTATAGCTTAAAAGCTTGCAGGGGGGGGGGGGGGCACATCCCTTCCCCCTCTTTTGCCAATAAATTAAAAAATTTTCAATGCATATCAATGTTATTTCTTCAAGCCCAGAAAAATTATGACTATGAATACTGCCCTCAACCCATCCAAACATATAAACATATTTATATCATCATCAAGTTGAAAATTAAGATTTATTGATGCCTGGAAATTCAAAAAATAACATACCAAACAGTAGCACATGCAATTAGTAATTTTAGAGTTTTAAGAATCAATAGAGTTAAGCTGGGCACTCACTCTGTCTATTGTCGTCAGTTGACATGATTCTCCAGACACCAGGGCAAGCGCACAACAGATCTTTTTTATGGTGATCCGTTTTGCCTGCCACTGACAATCAGCAGAGAGTTTTGTGTGGTCTAGTGCTCACCAGGGAGTTGAGTTGGATTTGGCGGCCGATGGTCGTACAAAGCAGTTAGTGCCCAGCTTTAGACTGAAGAATCCAAGACTCCAACAAGCATTGAAATGGATGCTTCTGCTGAGCTCTACCATCAAATCTTACTGCTAAGGTGTGGGACCCTAAGTAGCATAAATGTACATTCTGATTGGTCAGTTCTTAACCTCATTGGACTAAACCTTGCAAGACTCATGGCACAATTAAAAGCATATATGTTTTCAATGAAATTACTAATTTTAAAATCCTGTTTTTGTTTATATAAATAAAACAATTATTTCCACTTATAGGGTCAAAAAGAAAGGATTGCAGAAGCATTAGTGTTCACCAAGGATGTTGTAGTAGGAAAACATGAAGCTGCTAAGAAAGATAATGATTTTATTTATCATGATAAGATACCAGAAATTGACAGTCTTCCAGATATCAAAGGTAAGAAATGTTGCCATGGTGAATCTAAGAGTAGATGTGACTGTGCTCCCTCGGAACCTCTTGTTTCCAAACTTCCTTGATCTACTCCTGCAATGATTATCTGAAGCTCTGTATTCTACAATTAAAGAAAATGCAAGTGTGCTGTGCTGCACTCACATATTCCCATGCTGTTCATTGTGTAACACAGGTTATTCAGAAACTATTTGTATTTTGATTAAATAATAGCAATAAATTTAAATGGCAAAACAATAATGCAAAATCTTCAGGAAGTTGAAATTCGTGTCCGCTCTGGCGCAATCCCGGACCCCTACTTAGGTGACCGGGTAAAGGAACAGGAAACACATTTGCCCTGCCACAGAAAACCGGGTGCTCAGAGACAGTGACAGAGACGGCAGCTCTCAGAAGATAATGCAAACTATTAGAAAAGAATAATACAGAGTGAATCATTGAAACAAGAGTGTAGAGTGGGTTGAGGTGTTGGTAGTAGAGTGGGGCAACATGGGTTGGGGTGTTGGTAGTAGAGTGGGCCAACATGGGTTGAGGTGTTGGTAGTAGAGTGGGGCAACATGGGTTGAGGTGTTGGTAGTAGAGTGGGGCAACAGGGGTTGTGGTGTTGGTAGTAGAGTGGGGAAACATGGGTTGAGGTGTTGGTAGTAGAGTGGGGCAACATGGGTTGGGGTGTTGGTAGTAGAGTGGGGCAACATGGGTTGGGGTGTTGGTAGTAGAGTGGGCCAACATGGGTTGAGGTGTTGGTAGTGAGTTTGGGGTGCTGACTATTAGGAGTGTGAGTTTTGTCAACAAGAGATGTTGTGCAACATTTGTGGGGACGATGGTAACAGTGGGTGCAGTGTGCACTAGGCTACTGTACAATTCAGCAGGACCAATGCTGACTGAACATCCTAATGAACCTTCATTGGTCCATCTTTTGGCTCATTGCTACTTGGTGTTTACATGTCTAGAGCTAATTTAGGCGAGTATGTAAGATATTAAATTTAAATTTTGGATAATACAAAAATATCTAAAAAATATTTTTTGTCTATAGGAGCATCCCTTGTGAAGGCATTGACTTTTCAACCTTATGATGTGACGGTTGCAGGACCAGACATCTTCAAGAAGCTTGTACCTATGGAGGCCCATGCTGCAGCGTCTGTTTACAGTGAAGAAAAAGCTAAACTTTTAAGAGAATTAGGTGCTAAGATTGAAGAGAAAAACAGCCAATTAGAGTATGTATTAAGTATTTATTTTTCTATTTATTTACAGTTATATATCTATACATCAGGCTATGCTGTTATTTTCCCATTTTTCAATGTTAAAACATCAATTTTTAACAATTTGGTGATGTTTTTTGCCTGAGAAATGCCCAAAATCATAAACTTTGAAGGCTGATTTATCAAATATTGTTCTTGAAACAGCTGTTTGTTTGAATACTAGTAACTTCATAAGGAAACGTCGGATTTAAAAGATTCTTTGACCATTTTATAGCTGTCATTTTACTGTTTAACTCTTTTAATAACTGAATATCAATTTTTGCGACCAGTGACTGGTTTGGCTTGTCTTTGCCACATATTATGGTGGTCAAAATATGTGTGTATACTGTAACACAATGAATGGAATAAAGTATTGAATTATGTATCAACTGTTATCTGATTCTTTCTGCAGCCAGTATCTAGAATCATTACAAGTTGACCAGCTGCGGTTGCAGAAGGAACCAGAAAGACTTCCACAAGTTCTTCTTGAGGTCTGTGCTGCCATCAGTGTGAAACCTGATGCCGTAAAGTCTCTGGTTCAGTCGATGAACGGTGAGAATTTGAAAATGAATTCTTTTTTTTAGAGGTAAGGGTGGATTATGTACCATAAATAAAATTAGAAAGCAGGTGTTTTAAACATGGGATCTTGTTTCTATTGTGTTACTTTTACATTGGTGTGTGCTAAACTGTACCTTATACAATCAAATGATCATTTCAAGTTATATAAATGTCCATTAAATATACTTAATATATACATTATAAAACTAGCTTTTAACTGCAATCAAGGGAACAAGCAGAACACACGCATCACAGGTGTCCAATGTCAAAGGAACATGGTGGCTGAAGGCAGGCTTTTGAAGTAGCTAACTGTTTATATATATATTTTTTTCATATAGAGCTTTCAAATGTGGTACTAGATGTTGATGCGGAGCTAAAGGAAGTTCAAGCTATCATTGACCAGGAGAAAGAGGAGGAAGAGGCATTTAGTGTATGTACAGTAGAACCTCATTTTTACGTATCCCAGTTATACGAACCCTCGGTTTTACGTACGCCTCCTTTCGACGATGACGTCATCAAAAAACCATGAAAATATTCAAAACAAACAGCCCTTTTCAGAGCGACCATAAGTAAAAAAAGATTTGTTACTTCTGTCTTATTATTTCAATACTAAAACAATAAACAAACCATATGCAACTTATTTTCATTAAACAGCAACTTTGATTGAGTCTAATACCGGGCTGTTATAATAAAAAACATTGTGAACAGGGCGAGATGAACAACTACCGATAGTGCTCAAAATAATTGCTTTCCTCCTAAGCTTCGTGTGGAAAACTCGTCTGGTGGAATTTTGTACACGAAGCTGAGTAGGCATAATTTCGTACACGAACGCTAATTGGTTGGCTCGCCCAGTGCAGTGCACATGGTTGCTGTTTCACATACACGAACGCTAATTGGTTGGCTCACCCATTGCAGTGCACATTTAGTTTGTCTCAGCGGCCCAGACAACACAACAGTTTAGAATAGCCATGAAGGGGAATTCCCAAGTTATACCTTTGTCGTATAGGTAGTCTTACAATATTTCCATGTTCTTTAGTTAAATAAAAGATATAAAGTAATGAATACACTAGACACATGGTTTTATTTGAACACTTTATTATGACATCGTAAAATGATGAATAAAAAACACTAAACACATGGTTTTATTTGTAGGCCTAGAGGCTAGGTCTAGCCTAGGCCTAGGTAACATCGTTCGTACGTAGGCCTACGTTTATTGAGAGTTACGTACGTATTGGGTCAAAGGTCACTACAAATTTAATCCAACCTCAATTTTACGGATCCCCTGATTTACATACGCCCTCCGGTCCCGTACCGTACGTAAAATCGAGGTTCTACTGTACCTTTACCACATTCCATTCTGGAATTAAACATAATAAATCAATGTAAAAAGTTTATATATGCAATATCATTATGATTACATATATATAAAAGTGTACATACGCCTATTGCCTTTACATTATACATACTTTTCTTCAAATTTGTGAATTATTATTAATCTGTTTTTAGAAGTCTGCAAATTTTTTTGGTTTTTTTTTTTTTTTTTTGGTGTATATGTGTTTTATTTTAATATACAGTATTTCAAGTGGTAAATATCTGAATTCTAATTTTTTAACTTATGTAACCTGTAATAAGTTACAGGAGCTGCGAACACATTTGTGTCATGGCACTTCGTTGCTGACACAGTTCCTAGACCGTTTAAAGTCAAATTAATAAATGAAATGCAAATAAATTTTTTTTCATTTTACCTACAGAAAGAATGTGGTACTAAACCTGAAGTGGTAACAAAAGAAATAGTGAAAGAGCTTAAGAAATATAAAGAAGGCCACACAAAAGCCAGCCAATCTAACACCGATTTGCATAAAGCAATGGAGATCCACCTGGCTAATATCAAGCTCTTAGGTGGTCCATTAGAAGAACTTCAAGCTTACCTTCCATCGCAAAAAGATTCAGAAAGTAATCATATAATGTATATTTATGATATAACTAAATATTAATTCATATTCATGACATTTCCAAGTATAAAGTATATTTATAATGTAATTATATAATACGTATTCATGATTTTTGTTTTTAATACATAAATATAATTGTACTGTGCTGTATTTTATGCAAATATTACACTAATAACTGCAGTAACTAATACAAAATTTATAAAATTGAATGATTCAAAAAGCAACTACCCTTCCAAGCCTAATTAGAAACAAGTAAGTGTTGTACTACTAGTAAAGATTTTGAAAGTATTTAAATATTCATAAAGTGATGGCTGATATTGTTGCTTTCAGCAACACAAGACCAAGGCATACAAGACACGCTCAAGATGCTCATCGAGAAAGTAGAGAAAATGAAGAGTCAACGTAAACATCTAGAAAAACAACTGAGGGATAAGCTGCAGAATGATGATATAACAAGTGTTATAGTTACAAAGGATGAAGCTAATAGGAAGGTAGCAACTTTATTCAACAATACACCTCAGTCATTAGTTTGTTGACATGCAGCTGTATTATGCACCTTGTCCATTTATTGATTGATTAATTATACAGTGCTGATTGGTACAAGCAAACATACATATACAATAACATATATTTTCTTTCCATATATATTCTACAATACTTGTTAGGGACCACCTAAGTCCTGGAGCTGAAACAAGTCAGACAAATTTTGAAGCTATAACTACAGTTAATCTAATATAACTAATTATGAAGTACCTGAAGATATGTCTCCTTGACATATTTAAAATGTATTTTACATATGAAATTCTGTAATTGAATTAGTAATTAAAAATTTACTTACAGTACACTTATTTTAATATAATTGCAGCAATTTTTTGAAGAAGAACTAGCAAAGCACCAGACGACAGTAACCTACATAGAGCAGAACTTATCAGCACAAGACAATATTTTAAAGGCAGTGACAGAGGCTAACGCAAAGTATGCAGACACAAGGAAGATGTCTGCTGACATTGCAAAACGGTAATTTTCAAAACAGTTTTATACCATTACTAAATGTAGAATTTTTATATATTACAGAAATTGAATAAACCAGTGTGAGGTTTGGTGTGTATCAATATTTCTTTAATCTTGTAATCGCAAAATAGATTGTTAGCTTGCATACTGTTTAATTTGTAGGAGAGAAGATAAAATTCAGGAACTAGTCATGTCATACACCGTTTATGATGATCTACTTGCTAAATCACACAAAGGAATTGACTTTTACAAGAAGTTGCAGACAGGAATTATGAAGATTCACACCAACTGTACAGATATTGTGAAGGACAGGAGAACACAGAGAAATAAACACATGGCCAGGTTCAAACCTAAACCAAGTGAGTGACTGACCTGTAACTGATTGGGATTTGTCAGTTGGGTTTTAATGGGATTTTGATTGATATTTTATTTATTTTATTGTAGTTTTTCTCTTAAACTGCTGAATAGCAAATTAATCATGTATTCTGTGTATTAATCAAATATTCTGTCAAAGAATGCCTAATAATAACAATGTTTTCTTCACAGGTGCTCACATAGCTTCAGTGCCTAGGCAACCAGAACCTGGACCGGCTGGGCCCAAATTGTCTGACTTCTGGAAACCCAAGACATCTCATAGTTCATCTAGTTCACCAGCTAGTGGGCCTTCAAGCCCGAGTGTGTACCCAACAGCAGCTGCAGGATTAGCAATGCAACCAAGCTCTGTCATAGGTGGCTTACAATCACAACCAAGCTCTATGCTCTCTCAGCAAACACCCTTATCACAGCCCCAAAGCCACATCAGTGGGCCTAGCGCACCTCCTCCAAGCCCAGCAAGGAGTATTTCAACTACAAGGAATACTTCAGTGCATCAAATGCCTGTCTCACAACATCATGTTCCGATGTCTGGTGGTCAATCACCTGCATCTGTTAGTCAAACACCTACATCTATGTACCAAACACCATCAGTGCATCAGATGAATCCACCCTTGCAGCCACCTCTGTCCATGCAACAGACACCTGTATCAAGGCAGGCAGTGCAGCCAATATCTGGCTCTGTTCATCAGCCTGTCTCTGCTCAACCACCACCTTTATCCATGCAATATCCACCTGTTTCAAGGTACCAGACACCTGTATCTGGGAATCAGCAACCACCTGTATCTATTCAGCAACAGCCAATTCATCAACCACCTGCATCCATGTATCAACCATCTGCATCAATCCATCAGCCTACTGCATCCATACATCAACCAGTTGCATCCATACATCAGCCTACTGCATCCATACATCAACCAGTTGCATCCATACATCAACCAGCTGCATCCGTACATCAACCAGGTGCATCCATACATCAACCAGTTGCATCCATGCATCAACCAGCAGCATCCATGAATCCAATTAGTCAACAACCAACCATCGCCCCTCAAGCTAAATACCAGCAAAGCTACCAGCCCAACCAAATGGTTACTCCGTCTACACAGCACATATTGCCCTCTAGCAGCCCAATGCAACAGCCCTACATCCAACAGGCCCAGTCAATGCATAACACACCATATCAGCCTCAAGGAATGATGCACCAAGGTCAGGTACAGATGAATAAACCAAGCCAGAACCAAGGTTTACCACAGCAAGCACCTACTGGTGGCATGGCATCTCAAGCACAAAACACTAGCATGCATCCTCAAGTATATCAAATGCAGCAACAGCCTCAATTCAGCCAACAGACTATGTATCAGACACCACAGCAAATGGGACAGTACCAGGCTCAATTCATGCAACAGCGACTACCACACCCTCAGAACCAAGCAGCCATTTTAAAGCAGACCCCAGGACAAGCAAATGTTGCTTTCACTCATCATAACCAACAGCCTGCTGGACAATACTATCAGAATCAAGATGTTTCTCCATCACATGGTAGCCCACAGCATAGACCCAGAGCACCACAGTATGCCAGCAATCAACCAACTGGTATAATTCAGTCTGCAGTTACAGGTACCATGCTCCAATCTCCCCCAAGTAGCCTATCTCAAGTTCCTACTCAACCTGACAGTGGAGTACAAGTGCTTCAGCCAGCAGGCCTAGGCCAACATCATCCCAATCAGCCATATGCACAACAGCAATTGCATGCGTACCAGAGTCAGCAAGCCACTGTAGGCAGCTATCCACAAAGCCACCCTCACCAGGTTTCATCTCAGATGAATCCTCAACCTCAGATTTATTCTCAACAAACTGGACAGCAAAAGCATCCACAGACCCAATCCCAAAATCCACAGTTTATGCCTACATCTAGCCTTGGTTACCAACCAAAGCAGCACACAAACGTTGGACAACAAATGCAACATCAAAGCCAACAATCATTTCCAAATCAGATGACCAATCAGCCTATTCCACAGCATCACCCTACTCAGTCAGTCCAACAAAAAGGGCCTCAGCAAACCCAAGGCACATACCCAAACCAACATTCATTGGCTCAGCAAACCCAAGGAGCATACCCAAACCAACAGCCAGGGGCTCAGCAAACCCAGGGCAAATACCCAAACCAGCAGCCAGGGGCCCAGCAAACCCAGGGTACATACCTAAACCAACCTCCAGGGGCTCAACAATCTCAGAACACATACCCAAACCAACAGCCAGGGGCCCAGCAAACCCAGGGCACATACCCAAACCAACAGCCAGGGGCTCAGCAAACCCAGGGTACATACCTCAACCAACCTCCAGGGGCTCAACAATCTCAGAGCACATACCCAAACCAACAACCAAGGACTCAGCAAGCCCAGGGCACATACACAAACCAACAGCCAGGTGCTCAGCAAATTCAGAACACATACTCGAATCAACAACCAAGGGCTCAGCAAACCCAGGCCACATACCCAAACCAAAAACCAGGGGCTCAACAACCCCAGGGTGCGTACCAAAGCCAACAAACAGCCGCACAGCAAGCACCTCCCCATTCGCAAAGCCAAAAACCAGTTCCTCAACCAAGACAAAGTTTGGGCAAGCAGTCCACTGGTCCAAATTCAATCCAGAATATCCAACAACTAGAACAACAACAACTTCAACAACCACTGCAACCGACTAAATTCACCGGTCCAAAACAGCCAGACCTTTTATCCACCAGCCCAGACAACCAACAAAAATCTCTTGAAAATGTCCTCCTTCCAAAAAAGACTGAAAGCCAGCCTGAGCCACAAGAGCGACAAATGAGAGTTGTGAAATTGCCAAGTGCTGATCCTTATGATGATAAAGGAGTCTTGGATAGATTTGTAGAAGAAGTGGAGAAACTAGAGAAGTATGTTGAAGGACTCAACAAACAAACATTAAGTGGACCAACAGTTATCGATAGTCTTTGGAAGGTAAGCAATTTTAACTGTGTTTGTGTTTTAATTGAGTTGCATGTTTTTCATTTTAATAAATTTTAAAAAGGTGAATTACTTCGCAGGAAAATTTGATGATCATGATAATGCATATCAGTAGTGAGTTTTCAAAAGCACATTGTAAAACGTTAATCATCACAATATATCTAATCTACTTGCCTTATTTACAGTGTTCATGTGTAATGCCCATAATGTCAATCAAACTTAACTGACCAATCATAATTTGTTATTCAATAGGCGAGCAAATTACACGCAAATTTATGTTTACAACTGTACCTTGTATTAATTTGCAGGAATTGATGGAGAGTCAAGATAGGGATACCAGACAATATTCAATATCTGTTGCACGCTGCTACTCCATTAAAAACAGTTTTCCTGATTTTATGCCTTGTAAGTGTGTTTGTGTGTGTCGGTATACCTACTTTGTGCGTACCTCTGTTTTCTATTCATCCATTTTTTAATCATCAATCTGTGTATCTATTTGAAAATCCATTTACCACCCACTCATCTATTTATTTGTCTTTATTTTTATAGTTGTCTTTCTTATGCTTGTCTATACATCCTGTCTTTTTTCTGTCGGTTTATATCTAAGGTTTGTAAACAGGGAGTGTTGAAATATTAATATAATACCATAGCAGAAACATGATGTTTAATTAATACCGTCTTCATCCTGCTCAAAATAATTAAAAAAATTTTCATTCTTTAATGAATACACAGATGATCATAATCGGGTCAAGTTAAAAGGTTTAAAGGACGACTACGTCAATGCGAGCTACTTGGATGACCTAACGCCATCATGTCCGACCATCATTGCCACTCAAGCCCCAACAAGTATGACCATGCTCGATTTCTGGACTATGGTCTACGAAAATCAGGTGTCAGTTATTGCTATGCTGCTTTCAAAGCCACCTGGAAAAGTAGGTTATGCAAACTGTCTATACTTTTAGTAATATAACGATCTATAAAGATGTACTATAAAAGTCAAAAATAATGGATTAAAAGTAAAGGATGTTTAATGCCAGCTCATTATAACTTACCGCATGGATATATGGAAAGGCAACAACTTTTTATAAAGTTTCTCTTGAGGTTTTTGTATTTTTAAATTTTATTAAAGCATTTTTTCATTAGCCTATTACTTCACAATACAAATTAATGATAAAAAAATGTTTTTAAACAATCTGATTGAAAGATTGCCTTTCATTTATTTATTATAATTTTTCCTAAATATACACTAATAATGATATTGTTTCTCCTCTTTTCATTAGGCCAAGTCTGACTTTGTAACATATTGGCCAGAGCAGCGAGGTCAAATCATGAGACATGGGCCAATCTCAGTGACTCTTCAAGCGACCAAGACAACAGATTACCATGTGGAACGACTGATGACCATAAGCCACAGAGAGACCCGGCAAATGAAAACGTTTGCACACTTACAGTTCACCGCATGGCCAGAATTGTAAGTGATAGATCCACATATTTTTGTTTGTGTTTTAAAGATTTTAAATTGGTCAAAATTTCATCTTATTTATGTTTTTGTGTCAAGTACGTCCATAATAATAGTAATGTCTACATTTTTTGATGTTTTGATATTTTACAGTGGAGTGCCTTCCAACTCTAGCTCAGTATTGCAGTTTGTAGGAGAGGTACTCAATTACCACCGACAGCAGAGGAACACATCAGTACCAATCATTGTTCATTGCAAGTAAGTAGGTTCTAATTGTAGTGGGATCTTCATGATAATATATCATTATTATACCATATATAAAATTATTATACCATATATGGTGATGGTGCTTATGATGGAGATGATAACAATGATTACGATGATAATGATGGTGGTGATGATGAGGGTGGGGATAAGGGGATGATGGTAGTGGCGGCCATAGCGGCATTAAAATTGCAGATTATCACGTAATGTTCTATTCATAAAAGATAAATTTATTCAGATTACTGTAGTACAGTAAATATAAACTTTAAATGTATTTTTCCCTTATTAGTGGTGGTGTTGGAAGAACAGGTACATTCTGTACCATCTTGGCAGGAGTCCAGGAGATCTTGGCAGGTTCTGGAATCATTGATGTTCCACAGATTATCAAAAAACAAAGACAGCAAAGAAAGTGGATGGTCCTAGAAAAGGTAAGAGGCTTCATAAATCTAATTAAAGATAAGAGGGATGTATTGTTCTATAATTAATCCTCAAACAAGTCTACCAACTGACAAGATACCTTCTTGGTGTTTACCTTTCCCAATATGCCATCACCTTGTAATTGTCAATGTATAAATACGTAAAATAATAATGTAAATAAGTTAATGTATAAAATTTGTCTTATATCGTTATTTTCAGGAACAATTGTCTTTCTGTTTTGGAGCTATTTTAAGCTATGCTGAGCAGGTGCTAACAAAGCGTGAGTATATATGTATTGCAGTGATATTGTGCACCCTCCCTCTAGAGTATTTAGAACTTTTCATGTACCATGGTACAAATGTACAAGTATAGTTGCACAATTTTGAATGGCAAATCCAGGAATGACCAGGGATGTGTCCTTGTTTTGACCGAAAGATTAGAAATTGTCATTATTAAAATAGACTCTAAAACCAAGTGTCCACTTTATCATTTCTCTTGCCATAATGTACCACACTTCATGTGTCTTTCCCCATAGACTACTACAGTGTTACTGTTACGTCACGATACCACGTGATACTACTCCGTTGCTGTCAACCGGACGCCAATTTCTCCACTGACAAACCATTGATCCCAATTTCTAACGTAATTTTAAGATGTTGTATCTTAGTTTTTCTTTGTAAATTTCAATTGATGATTAAATGTGTGTTCGATAACTAATATAATTCAAGCTTTTGTGTTTTTAGTACATTTTGATGGTAAATTATTAGGTTTCAAAATGCCTATTCCTAAAAGCCTATTCTAAATCATTAAGATTATGAAGTCATTCAGGCGTAGTGAACAGTAACCAATGTCAGGTTGACAACAAAGGGCGCCACCTGGTGTTGTGAAATCAACTGATATTGTATGGTATTTGTGTGCAGTTTAGTGAAAGTGGGAACTTGAAGTATTACAATGATCAAGACAATGTACATATTAAATAATTATGTTACAAATATATTTTAAATAATAATAATAATTACAATGAAAAAACATACATATTTTCTTAATGAATTTTTATATATTTTTTTTTTCATTTTTATAGCAGTCATGTTAAAATCCCAATAGGGTCATGTTGTTTTCTCTTAAACTATATTATGGTAATGTAAGCATATGATTATAACTTAATCAATAAAAATAACTGTTTATTGTAAGAATCAGATTCTACCATAGTCAACCAGTGATATATATATTAGAGATTTTAAAGTTGACACTTAGAGAAGCTGTTTCAAGTGTTATGTAATAGTGGCATAATACAGTGTAATTCAGCCAATGACTAGTTAAATAGGTAAGGATGTTCACATTTTCTAAAATTACTGGATGATACAGGGTTTCATGGCCTTTACTGGTGATTTTTCCTCTTGGAGATTATCCTTGTCCAAGACCCTCAGTTAACCATATGATTAGCTTATTAATAGAGAGATTTTGCTATCTCGTTTGAGAATCGCTTCACCAAGATAAAATTCATGTTCTTGTTTAGTCCACAAAAATAGAAAATGTAGGGGTTTCAAATCGAATTTATAGGCTACTAATATGTAAAAAATGCATTCATTTTCTCTCCTGTGTATTGTTATATTTATTTGATATGGAATAATAGTTACCTCATATGCCATTGAAATGTAGCAAATACATTCAATTTCTGATTCTTAATTCATCGCTCTGGGTGTGCAGCCCAGGATGCAGCAGTTGAATCTTGAGGTACAAGTATGTGATAAATTAACACTACAGCTAATCTGGTAAAGTCATACGCAAAAAATGTGCACTTTCCTTGTTGGCTCACTCCGGAACGAGATAGTGAAAGGCATTTAATGTCTAATCTAATGCCTTTTACCATTGAGGGTGGTTTTCAGTTGACCCAACAATTTTATTGCAAATGTTTATCGTCAAAAAAGCAAGTACTCGCTTAGTAATTCTGGTTACAATTTTTTTTGAAGTTTTGCTCTACTTACTGCATTGTATGCCCAACTAATAAAGATGGTGTAGTGTAGTCATTCAATGCCATCGCCATTTTTTGTATAATCTTCAATAGACCCGCGCATTACTTAATTTTTGCATAATCATGTAGATTTACAACATTAAATAAGCAAACCAGATAAAACTATTTGAATATCATGTAGAATTGTTTTCAATTGAAATCATTCTCTTTATAGTTGTAATTTTAATTTCCAAATTATTTTGTTCTTGGAATACTATTTGTGTCTTTCAAATTCATGAATTAAATATATCTTTTTATTTTAAAGTAAAATAGATAAGAATATTACTAGTGTATGGTAAAATTACAAGTAATTTTTATAATTATATATTTTTTTTTTTATGTTAAAACAATTGTTTAAATGTTCTATATGCAAATTAAAGTATTGAAGGCGAGACTTTTGTTATTCCTTGTTTCGCGAACTTATTTTTTTTTAAAGATCATCAGAGGCGGGTGGAAAAAAATTAAAATAAAATTCTGTTTTCTAGTTTAGCAAATAGTTTTGCCAAAAACATCCTGATGGAGGATAAAATAAAATTCAAAATTTAATTGTTGAATGAAAACAATTAAGCAATGGAATGGTGAAATACATTAAATTCGTATAAATAGGAAGACATCACACATCTTATTTTTGGAGATTTCAAGGCTGCGACAGGTTTCGCGAAACAGGCTATAAAAAAAGTCTTGCCTAAGGTATAATTATAATAAATTGTCTTGTTACAGTTATATCATACCACATAAATTATATTCTGGTATTTGCTCTCTCTTGGGTACTGTACCTCAATCTTTTCTTCAGAATTAAAAGCCTCTTGCATCTTGCAAATGTTTGGCATTTCAAGAAAGCATGTATTTTATGGCATCTATCAAACTCAGACCCAGAAAACTCGGATCCAAGTTTTTTAGGTGAAATCCCTGCATCTTGTGGTTTAAAAGGATTTCAAAATTTTGCAGCATTATTAGTTCCTATGCATGTAATGCAAAGGAACGAATGTGTGGACATTGTCAGGAAAAGTTCTCTGATATTTTATTTTACTGACAGTGACATGCCTAATGGTCAACTTGGGATTAGGAGTTTTCTAAATAGCCATCCATCACTTTATCACAGTTGATGTATTGTTTATACGTTTTCACTACCGCAACATAATACAACAATCAGCCTAAATGTGTTTTCAAGTTGAAATATTATATATATACAATTCTGCATAGCGACGTTGATACCTAAGGCTCTAGTTTTTGCGTAGTATTTTTCTCCTTGTTGTCAAAACAGATTTTGGTTAATCAAATATATGAAAATACACTTGTGCAATATAAGATCAAAGATGCAAGCATATCAGATATATACATAAACATGTTAAATTTATGTTTACATAATTTTTGTTTGTTCTTTCACATGATCGTTAATGTAAATTTGTTTGTGCATGCCACCAAAACATGTGATGTTTAAAAATTACAATATACAGTACAGTAATCTGAATCGAACAGACACATTTAATGTTAACATGTATGTGGTGGTTGTGAGCATTGACTCTGGTGTAAAGCACTATAATAACTTTCAATCATGTGAACATGAAATCCCAACCAATCTCCCATCAATGCCACTCGCCTTTTTCCACATCTTGTTGAGGTACGTATTTGTTAATTGGTGTTTATGTAATGTAGGTAATGTATATGGGAAAGCATGCACGTGAACAGTGATTAATGACTACTGGTTCTGAAGTATAAAGAAATGAACATATTTAGTATAAAGTTCAATATAGCTAATGAAAATTCAAGGTAAAAATGATTATGAATTATAAATACAAAGAAAAGAGCATCTTGATTTCCTTTTTTTTTTTGTCACTGTTATCTTTTATTGTGCCTTGTATCCCTTGGCAAAAGGTGCGGTATAAATTCCTGTATTATTATTACTGTTTCACCAAGGAAATTGTTTCAACCAAGTTGCATATTGTAGTGTTAAATTTATGACTGGCTTGCTATCAACATAAACAGAACAGTTTTGTACAGGAATTTTATTCTATAAAAAGCTCCATATTCACATTTTCATATGACAGTTTAGAAATGCATCTCTTATCAATAACAAACATTGGTGTTGTGGAAACAGACTACTTAACGACTTGTTAGGCCTATTAATGTGCTGCTTTGCACAAAATACTATAACAATTACATCACCTTCCTAAAAACAGTAATACAGTATTATGTACAAGTTCCAACACCAATTTTACTTGTCCAGTTTTGTTCATACTGTACATAAAAAAAAAAATTAAAAAATATGCCTAAAATCAAAATAAAACATTCTTTTAGCAGAAAACCATATGCACTACAGAGTAGTATTATGAAACTTATCATGTGACCTCTCCTGTAGCCTCTGATTAGTGTGGGCAGCTGAACTACTCATTCCTCTAGTTTCTAGATTTTGATATAATAGAAAAGGTAGTTAAACAAGTCTCTGAATATGAATGATTGGCCATCTATCATAGTTTTCATTTTCTTTTTCCATTTATTCTGTTTTTAGCTGCTTCACTGGAGGGTCCTCTGAAGGTGTACTTGACTCGTAAGGGCGTTTTTTAGTTTTTTCAGCATCTATGAAAAAAACAACGTTTTGATGTAATAGAAAAGGTAGTTCAAACAAGTCTCTGAATATGAATGATTGGCCATCTATCATAGTTTTCATTTTCTTTTTCCATTTATTCTGTTTTTAGCTGCTTCACTGGAGGGTCCTCTGAAGGTGTACTTGACTCGTGAGGGCGTTTTTTAGTTTTTTCAGCATCTATGAAAAAAACAACGAAACAATTTAAAAAAATGTTTATCATTTCATTAGCAAAAATTATACCTTTAAGTTGATATGTATTTAACCTACCTTCTTCATCATCACTTTCAAATTTAGTTTTCTTTCCTCTGGGTTCATCATAGCTCCGTTTATCACGTTTTCCACCAGGCCTTCCTCTCTTTCCCCTACGACCTGTGTGCAAGAAAAGTCATTCTTATAGTAAATCTCATTGCATGATAAATTCTTTAAGGCGCAAGTCATGCTCACTTTCAACATTCCATTGTCAATGTGCAGATTAATGGTTCATTAGATAAATTTCTTACCAGCTTGCATACGAAGCTTACTAGCCATCTTATTCTCAAACACCTTCACCCAGTGTTCCTTTTCCTCCTCGCCTTCCAAAACACGAACTGTAACATCCTCGCCTCGTACTTGTATTTTACCATCATTTGCTGCTCTAATTTTCTTAATTACATCCTTAGCTTTAACATCATCATCAAATCTAATAGTTCCCTAGTAAAGACACCAAGTTGAACATACTGAATTTTTAATGATCATAGATATTAATGTCAATCCAATAATATACATAGATACTTTCTTAATTTCAACCAAAGAAGGAAAACTGACCTCTGTTTGACCCCTGACAAAGTCCACCCAGTTAACAGTCCCATGTTCACCAAACACTTCTTTTAAGTCCTCCCTTGATATCTGGTCAGAAACGCCACTGAAATGCATAATGCAGCCTTCAGCAAACTCTTCCAATGCAGCCTACAGACATGTTTTGATACAATATTTATTAAGATGATACTCAAGATTTGTTTACAGATTATACATACCTGTACGTTATTAATAATATAATCCCTTTTCATTATCTCTTACCTTATCAGAGGATAATTTTTCTTCTTTTTCTTTCTGCACTGCCTCTCTGAAATTAATAATATAAAATTAATTTACATCACATGAATAAGTCTTTCTAAAGCAGAAGTAGAGTACAGTAGTTGATTAGGAGGCTTTACTTACTGTAGTTTCCTTTCTTTGTCAGCTTCCTTTTCCTTTTTCTTCTCATCTGCTTTCATGGCAAAGTACGCATCTCTAGAAAATGCAAACAATGTTGTAAGACATAATTATGCACAAAAAAAACCCAACAAAATTCCGGATATGTAGCAAATTTCTAATTATAATTTTCTTTTCTAACAATTGTTAGAAAAATATTTTTTACTACTTACTTGCTCATTTTGACTGCATCTGTTTCTCCAATTTTTACATTATCTGCTGCTAAAAACTTTTGTGCATCTTCTACATTCATGAATACAGCAAATATCGACCCCTTAAAATTGATGTGAAAATTAAATGATTATAATCACTGTATTTTTTTCATGCTAAATGTGATCACACTTTTAAAAATACATTTTGCTTAGTTTATACCTTGAATTTTTTTTCTCCATCCCTTCGCATCTGGACATGAGCAGACGGTCCAAATTTGTCAAGAAAATCTTGAATATCATCCAGTGTTGCATCCAAAGGAAATCCCTTCTGTTGACAAAATTCAAATTTAACGTAAAGGGTAAAAATGAATATATATAGTAGTAATGTAGTAAAATCTAAAACTAAATATGGCTATTGACATTTTTCTGTTAGTGCACTGTTATTATAGAAAAAACTCCAAATTATATATTAAGGAGGCAATGTCTTTGACTATATTTATGGACCACCTAGGGATTTGGGCCAAGCAGTCTGACACCTGTATACTTTTGTGGCTTACGTTTTTATTTAAATACAGTATTGTAAAAGGATACAACCATCATCAGTTTTGATTTCTTCCTGTAAGAATCTGTCTCTCTTTAAATTGGCATCTCCAAAATAATACTAAACAAAAAAAACCAATAGCATCAAAACTACATATGTGCACTATTCATAAAACAACTAGGGATATTATGATTACATGACTAAAGTGTTTTAGGAATTGTAAAAATTGCTTGAAAAACAGGGGAAAAATCCACTATGTTATTCATAGGTGGTATTCAGACATGCATTAAAAATTAAGTGGAAATTGATTTATTTCAAAACCTGCAAACAATGTTTAAGCCAAAATAATATTGGAGCTATTCCCTACAGAAAAACACTATTAAACTACAAATGTCTATCAACCAATTATTCAAGAATCATTATACCTCAATTTGTCTAATGATTTTTTTCTCCAGATCAGACGGTGAATTCAGAATTTTTGTTTCCTCCTTGACCACAGTTTCCTCCTTGACCACAGTTTCCTCCTTGACCACTGTCTCCTCCTTGACCACTGTCTCCTCCTTGATCTCTGCCATAATATATTAACTGAAATAGAGAAGCTAAAAATGATAAGCATATAAAATAGATTTTATGCCACCACTGTCCACATTTCTTTTATTATTTATAATTTGAACTGATGAAATGATTAATTTACAACAGTGGAGACAAAATACATAAAAATTGCACGAATGATACTTTATTTAAAAAATAGCTTAAATTTGCATGGTAATCGTAACTACTTAGTCCTACTGCATAATATTATTAAGATTAGATCAAAACCTTGGAAAAACCTGTGTGGAAATCGGCCTTATCTTTCTCAAATGCTTCGGCTGGCACTATCTACATGATAAATAAATTTCTAGTCAAAATAATATCTGTGTGTAGGCCTAGTGTAGAAGATATTCCCCAAGCAGTCCATATTTTACAGTTTGGGCCACACAATCACTAGACTTCACAAGCTATTTAGCATATGTAGATAAGCTCTCTAGCTGAGAGTCAGGCGACCCTTAATGGACTTAGCCAGGGTCTAGGCTACACAGGGCTAGGCCTAGCCTAGGCCCTAGATCTTGTCTAGCAGCGCCACCAATGCAAAACCGGCAGGCAGGCCGGGACGGTCTGCCGGTTTTTAGCCTGGCCCAGCATACATTTACCTTTCACACGACTACAACTTAAATTGTAAATTTCGACTACGATATTAAATAATTTATTTCGACACAGTAACGTTTATACTGATGTGTTGCAGAATAATTGCATCAGGTTTACAAGACCGTCAACAAAAAAAACAAAACAGCTCGACCTTGTTAGAGCGAAACATGTGGGTAAGGGTCAAGTGACAATAATATAGGATTCATAAATTATATATTATAATTATGATAATTTCATATATTCTAAAACATAAAGTAAAAAATACGTAGTATTTGTATTATTAGTTTGAATATTCAGTGGATTTCAAAAGTATTTAAATGATTACAATATTTTAATATAAAAAATAAAATGCTGATGAAAGGTTAATGAGTTTGCGGCGTGACCATCGATCCAACGTGCTTATGGTATATTGTATTTAGTAGGTGATGTTACCCTACCCTAGATAAGTTATTTTTTGCTATTTAAGACGATTACATTCGGTCTACTATTATTTGAACATCACAGGTAAATATAAAGTGTAAAAAATGTTGGGCAAATGATTATAAATGGTTAAACTATAGTGTTCTATATAGCCATAAACAATTGCTCTTTGATGGCAGGCCAAAAATTACGTCATCCTCTTCAATTTGCAGGAAATCGTACAGTGAGTACTGCTGTACCACCTACCTGCTGTACCAACCGAAGTAGTTATGGCTGCTGCTCTCAATAAATTATTTACTCAGCTTGGAGCTGTAGGTATTGGTGTAGCAGTGGTTGGAAGTGTTGTTAATACAGCTTTATATAATGGTAAGCATAAATTAATAAATATTCCATCAAGGCAGCATCAAATTATAAGGCCCTAGCCTAGTAATAGACTGGTACAGTAATAATAGCCTAGGGCTAGTATTTTATTGAGATAAAAAGTGAAATAAAAAAATGAATTTTAAAAAGGAAAACATAAAAATAAAGTTAACAAGGTTAATAAAGATAAATGAAATAAAGCAAAAGATACAAAAATCAACAAAAAGATGAAAAAGATAAGGTGAAGAGAATGAGAAAGAAATTAGAGGGTAAAAAAATAGGTGAAAAGAAAAAAGATAATATTGAAAGATAAAAAAATAAAACAATATACTATTTTTTGAGTATATGAGCATTTTCGGTACTTTTGTAAATTTGTAGTCAATATTTTTTTTTCTCATTTTACAAAATATCTACCACACAGTTGACGGAGGACATCGGGCAGTAATCTTCGACAGACTGTCAGGTGTAAAAGAGTACGTAATGGGCGAGGGAACTCATTTCTTAATTCCATGGATTCAGCGTCCTATTATATTTGACTGCCGATCCAGACCCCGCAATGTACCAGTTATCACTGGAAGTAAAGGTATCTCCTGGTCCATAATGTTTACAGTATTTAAATTTCTATTAATTTATGTTAAGTTTTTCTGAAAGTATTAAATTTTGCAATGATATGTTTTATATCTCTCAATACATTGATGTCACAACAATGAAAACACCAGTAATATTTCTTAGCAGAAGTTTTTCTTTAGAAATTCTTGTTGTATTGATCATTCTAATGAAAGAATATAAAACAATGATCAACATTTGTGGAGCATCTTAATTTTGGGTCTTGCATTGTAGTATTATATAATATTAATTAATTATTTATTTATTTGCTTATTTTCTTTGTGCAAGTGTTTTTTTAAATATTGTATGAATATTTATTAATGAATTACAATGAACTCCAGATAGCAACTTATAAAGTATGAATGTTACTGTATCCAATGACATTGATTAACCTGCAGATTTGCAGAATGTGAACATCACGCTGCGTGTCCTCTTCCGACCAATGGCACCTGAATTACCAAAAATTTATATGAATCTCGGTGAAGACTTCGATGAAAGGGTTCTCCCTTCCATTACCAGTGAAGTTCTCAAAGCTGTTGTGGTAGGTTATTAGGTTCTTTTGCATTGGTACTTAGAGGTGAAGTTTCTCATACCATTTCACAATTTGATATCTCTCCTAAAGGAACATTGTTTATGCATATTGTTTGTACAGAGCTTCATTTTCATTTTGGTGAGATGTATTCTGTTGGAGCATAATGTCTCATAAAGAAAGAAATGCAACTTGGATTTTCTTAGAAGTTTTTATTATGTCACTTACGAAAAGGAATATTGACTATAAGAGAGAAATGCTTCAGATTTTCTCTATAGAATAAAAATTAGAAAATGTTTGTTAGAGAGTCTAGTTTTCATAGCAAATTGGGGCATTTGTATTTCTTAACATTATTTAACAAATTGAACTCATTTTAATTGGAAATTATTTATTTTCACAGGCGCAATTTGATGCGAGTGAGTTGATCACTCAAAGAGAAATCGTTTCACAGCGAGTGCAAGAAGAGCTCACAGAGAGAGCTCAGCAGTTTGGTCTTATTCTTGATGATATTTCTTTGGTAAGCAGCAGTGCAATATTATATTATTATAGGGAGCTTTTGATTTGTTCGAGGCGCAACACTAGAACGGAATTACTCATGCATGACTGTCCTATGGGGCGTCCTACATTCTCTTCGCACATAGATTTGGCCAAATTGTGTCCTAGGATCCATGCGACGAGAACTTGCATTCTTGCATGTGCAGATGACTTTTAGTGACGTCATTACGTTCTATGAACTATCGTCGTCGTGCAATAGAAAGCTCCATGATGGGAATTGTTGGGAGGCAGCTTTTAGGTGAATTGGTAGTGTTTAGGAAAGAGCAATTAATTCAGTCAGAGAATTACTTCTGCAATGATGTGTTATTAATCTGTCAATCCACTGAAATAATTTGGATGAAAATATACTTTATATATCTGAGCAGAGTTTCCTTTAAAAAAATTGTTAATTGAATATAATATACAATTGTTACAATACTTTAATATTTAAATCTTTGATTCTTATATAAATATACAGTACATTATGAAAAGTGGATTGAATTTTTTTTTCTAGACCCATCTAACATTTGGAAGAGAATTCACAGAAGCTGTTGAGATGAAACAAGTTGCCCAACAAGAGGCAGAACGAGCCAGGTTCTTGGTAGAAAAGGTAAACAAAATAATCATTTTTTTGGTACACCTTGATATGGTAACTTGCTGACTATTCAAAGTAAGATGGTCTGTGTTGAATTCCTCATTCAGATTGTTTAATTATTCAGTGCTATTGCAATTAATAAACAGATGTTGACAAGTATGTCAGTTATATATTTTAATTCCTGTATAACTTGTTACTGACATTGTTTTTTTTTTTATTTGAAAAACTCAATAATGTCTTGGAGATTTCATGCATCATCATTCAACAGTCAGTCAACAGCCATTGTATATTTTATTTGCAAAGATTAAAGAAACATCAAGAGAGTCTTTTTTCATTTAGTTGAATTGAATTTCTGCAATGATGTTTCATATCTGTCAATCCATTGATGTTTTTAATGAAAAGACTTTTTTCCAACTGAGCAGAAATATACAGAAAATAAATGTTTTATACATTGGTACAATACATACAGTATTCTATATTTCTCCTATGTTATGTTGAACTATTTTACATATGTTTTATTTTTTTCACAACCCTAGGCTGAACATGTGAAAACAGCAGCCATCACCACTGCAGAGGGAGACTCCATTGCTGCCAAACTTCTCTCAAATGCATTCAATAAAGCTGGAGAGGGCTTGGTAGAACTCCGTAAACTTGAGGCTGCTGAAGACATTGCTTACCAAATGTCTCGTTCAAGAAACGTAACATATCTGCCGCAGGGACAACAGACATTATTGAGTTTACCGCAGTAAATGTATTTGGACAGAATGTTTTTAATCATAATTATCTAAAGTATGTTTAAAAATCCGATTACCATAAGGAATTCTAATCGTATTCCTGCTCATATTTACTGGTGCTGAAAAAACTGTCCAGAGTGCTGTGTTTAAAACTAAACATTAGCGAAATATCTATTGTAAAATAAAGAATCTGATTTCTAATTATGGCAAAAGCTCTGAGCAAAATCTGATTTATGAATCCAGATTGTATCGTGAAATGTCATCTTAATTGCTCCTGAATTGACATTTAGATTTTCTTATTAAATTTATATTAAGAAGATTTGTTGCTGTTGTTGCAAAGTTCTGAGGTAATTAAATACAGACAAATATCAGGATAACATTTTGTTTTTAATTAAATGTGAAATATTTCTGTCTTGTTCCCTTTTCTTAACTATACTGTACTTTAATTTTGTGGGATAGATTACAAATTGTCTATGGGAAACCTACAAAACTGTCATACATTACAAATTCCTTTAAATCAATAGGTAAAAAAGAATACTGGAGTCGCCACTAAATAGTATATAACGTTTTAAAAAATGTTTTTTTTTTGTGGAAGTAACCTTTAATTTGTCTGATATTCCATCTTAGAGTTTCATCATCCTTATTAATGCTTAACTATGATTGAGTATTGTGTTACCAGTCTAAATTAGCAGAGCTTTTCAAATGTATCACAGCCATCTATTAACACAGTAACGTCATAACAAATTACAATTAACATTTTCATCGACTAAAAAATTGTTTGAAAGATGTCTCAGATTAAGACCAGCTTAAAAATGCGAATATTCGTAACCTCAAGAATATTTAAGTAAAATCAAGTATAAAGAGGTGCCTGTGCTACCATATCGTTTAGAAAAAGAATCCATTATTAAAACCAACCTATTTGCATAAAGCTCCCAACATTATTTTTTCCATACCAAACTAGGAATGTGGAAATATTTTGATCAGATTTTTAGATTTTGAAACCTCATTAGTATTCAAATATTCAAGAGTACAAATGTGCTAAGCATTTTTTCTGATACAGTTAGTAACATTTTATCAAGTGTAAACCGTGTATTAACGATTGCTGTGTGAGCTTATTTGGAAATCTCTTAAATATTAACTACAATGAGGTCTAATTTAAAAGGATCAAATTTATTATTAACCTCCAATCAGACAAAAAACAAATTAGTTTCTTTTTGTCTGATTTACTAACTTTTCTATGAGCATTTATAAAGTGATTACCAGTCAAAGGGTCTACCCGTCTATGCAAAGAATATTGAACGCTATGCTTGATAGTGACGTGCAAAATATTTTTTGTTGACAAGGTAAAATGTTGTACTGTAGCTTTCACGGTCTTCAGGAAAGCTGAAGATTTTAGCTCAAAGAACAGGCCGTTAAGGGGGATTACGACGAACCGCCCAAAAACAGGAGAAGGTCCGCATCTAAAACGAACAATTTATATTCGCAGATATATGTACAATGTTCTCCAGAGTATTGGAGATCATACTAGCCAAAGGGTCCACTTTCCACTGCAACGAACCTTCCACAAATTAAGTCGCGCTACAGGCCTGAGGAAGTATACCTTACGTGTCTTTATATTTAATGATTATCAAATTAAATCATATAATAATAACCCCATATCTGCTTTCGGGGTATGCACCCACTCTTCTGAAAATTTTCAAAGCAAACAAAATTACGATCAGGTAGTTGAAAATCTCATCTAGCCTGTTTTTGACAGCTAAGCACCCCTGGCACCCCTTCCGCTTTCCTTTCCTTTCCTCCTATCAGTCCCCGCCACCTCATTTAAATACTCTTACTAGATATGCCACTTTATAATTTCGACATTTGATCGACATCATTGATATCACGCAACATTTATCAGTTTAAAAAAATGGCTTTGACATCAGAAGATGATCAATAAATAAATATGGTTTAACTACATGGTGAGCAAGAATATTTCAAGGGATTTTACATATTATAAGAAAGCGTCAACAATAGGTACGCAGCATGGCCGGCGGGGCCGGGGCCCCCCCCCCCCCCCCCCCCCCCGCCCGC